GGTGGCGGCTATAAAGTTTGGAGGCTACTTCCCGTTTAACCAAGATGTTGTCACTCCTTTTGTTCCCTGATTTTTTGCATAGTTGTGTTTGTGTGAGTGTTTCCTTTTGTTTCGACCGACTTCTGTTTGTGGTAACCGTGTTTTTGCCTGTATATAATGCTGCTACCTAGTACTGAATTAACCGCATGTACTACAGAACCTGCTGCTTTTTATGTTGGTTTAGGATTTCATTTCTATCATTCTATGATATGAAATGTAGTGGTCCCTGTCCTGATCATGGTACTTGTGAGCTATCATGCCGTTCTTGTGCAATTACATAGACAAATGAAGTTTCATTCAGGCAGCTGTCGCTCTTAATTTCTCTTGATTATTTATTGTCTGGAAGGAAGGAAACAACAGGCTAGTCCGTCTAGTGGGTTTCTTGTTCTCGAACTACTGAATGCACTGCGTGATGCATGCCATCGTCTTCAGTTAACCCTCTCTAGGAGAGGCAGAGCATCAGACCAGAGGACTTATGGAACCATTAAATAGGCAGAATTGCAACTCCCTCCATCCATCTATATAAGGACATTAAATGAGTACACCCATATATACCAGGTCGGCCTAGTTTGAACCAATTGTGAACACCCATATACACCAAAATTATTGTGCAGTTCGATTGTTCTGTTCAATATTATCGGAAATAAGTGATCTCCTATCATCGATCCATCATAGCTGCACTTGTATGAAAGAATTAGCTAAATCTGAATATACTTGTTCATGTTGTATAATTTCGGCTGGCAGTATCTGTAATTTAGTAGGAGGATGTACATAGCATGAAGAGGATGGAGTGGGTGATTATGAAGAGGAACAAGAAGTGACTCGACGAGAGGATAGCCTACTAAGGGAGCGGGGTCATTTGGATAGGTATAGATGTCCCCTATGCTTCTACCTCTCTCCTACTTACCCTCTTTTGGCTATTTCTTGCATTTTCTGTACAAGAACATTGTTGTTATCTCCAAGCATGGTGATTTTTTTCAATATGATTTGAGATTTTAGTTGGTTAAGGGCCGAAAAGGATAGGATTGTCTCATTATGAATTTGATTGGATTGTTCACCATACTTGAGCAATTCATGTAGATGCCCTTATATATACAGTCAGGATTTAGAATGCAATCAGCAATCCATAGTATGGTGTTGGCTTTTTATGGAGATAACAACAATAGTGCTCCCCATAGTACGAATGTCTGAAGCTGCATTCGTATACTATTCAACTTTAACATTCAGCTTGTACTCAATTTAGCACAGAAAGGTTCATATTAAAGCTTTTCTTCTTCCAATTTTACGTGCAGGGAGCCTCAACCTGTTATACTCTCAATGAATAGTTAAGATGATGCTCGAATAACTTAGTACCATATTGAAGGTTTGGCACAAAAAACCACCGGAAATGCGCCTAATGAATAACACGGAGCACTGATGCTCGAATTTGGTCGTGAAAACAGCGAAACTGACGGGTGGGGCCCGCCTGTCGGGACGAGGTGGCATGCTTGTGTGGACAATATGTTGAGTTGGACGAGGGTCCCACTTGTCAATGACTCAAGTGTTTATTACTTTTCACCTTTTCTTTTTATTTCTTCCCCTTTTCTCTCTGGGCATTTAGCCGAACAGGTTGTGAGCGCTGGACATGGACATCACCGGCGCAGCCACTAGAGAGGATCTGCACAACGGCAACGCCTGATCAGGCCGTCGCATCGAGAGACCAGGTTGTGGATGGGAGCCGCATCCTGGAAGTGGTCGCCCATCGAAGGTGGACGCAGATACAGCCAGTGCGGGGTCTCGCTGGAGCTCGGAGTGCGGCCACTGGACCTCGCGTGTGGCCACGGGGAGGCGCATGGGAAGCACAGTGCGCTCGCCGGCGCGGGCAGCAATGGCGGCCGGCGATGAGGCGGGGCCATGCGAGCACGCCCGGGTAGGGCCACGTGTGAGGTGCGTCTGTGCAGCCGAGGTCAGCCATGGCTGACGACCAAGGTCAGCGTGGGACAAGCTGCTACCGAATCTCGCTGGAGTGTTGCTTAGCGCATGTAGCTGCGTGAGTGCTCGTGGCGTGGGTCGCACGTAGACAAGGCAGCCCTTGGCTAGCTCGAGCAGCTGCTCGGCTGCCATGGCCATGGT